CATGCTTCCCCCCCTCCCTCTTCTCCCCCATGAGCATGGATAATGACAAGGTTTGTGTATTTATGCAAATACTGTATGTAATATGTTTGTTTTGTATACAAAACTGCTTTTGAAGATCCATTTTATTGCTCAAATTAATGAGAAGTTGGAAACGTGTCCCCTGAAGTTAGACTGGCAAAAGCACAGTAGAAAAGACAGCTGACTCGAGTTTTTTTCATTTTTGTTTTGGCACCTGTGAATCTGGCGTTCTGTCTTGGGAGGGAATGATAGACCACATTTAGCGGAGTAACAATACGCTCCAATATCCGCGGCTTTCAAAGAACGCTAATGAGTCCTTTTCCCGGTTGAGCTGACTGGCTTCGTTGATTCGCCATCAGCGGCGAAGATGCACAAGCTGTCGATATGGTGGAGGCAGCCAAATGTTGTGCGTGAACGCGACTATAAATAAACCAGGTCAACAATGAGATAAAAATAGATTAGTTAGATAAGTCTTACCCAACACCTCACCGTGCACTCTCGCAGTGGCTCCAGGTCAAAGGGATACAAGCCATCAGATGCGGCTTCCGTCTCCTCAACTTTCGATCAATGAATTCAAAACCTGAACGTGAATAAATCACAGCTGGAAAAGCTTTATTCAAGCAGGAATATATCTTACAATGTAGGTTTGCGCGACTGAAAATAGTAATCTTTTTGTAACTTTCTTTCTATAATGACACTAAAAATAAGTTTGATATTCATTGATTTTAACTATTCAGGATCACCGTGTAAACAGTGAGGTGATAAAAACATGGAGAACTGAGCAGAAATTCATCAAACATCCCCAGAAAACCTCCATCTCTTTCTGTCCACACTGAGCACACGACAAGAAGACAAAAACAGAACAGCAGCACCTCAGATACATTCAACACTATCACATCTCAGCCTGTAATTAGCACTTGAATATGAACAACAGCAGACTAATGGACCGAGGTTGTGACTCTTCAAACTGGGCTCATTTGCATCAACACACGGTACAAACAGGGATGAGTGATTCTGATGGAACAATATTCAGAAATGTTCAGAAGCAATGGATATTTTCTCAATGAAAGCATTCAAATCAATGGCAGTGATCTGCCACATAATAAAGTATACTGCCAGTGATGCTTTCATTACTGAATTAATGCTTTAAATAACGGCTCTTTTATATTAACCCGTTAACAGTAAAAGTTGCACATTATCTTTTTTTAATGCAGTCTGTAGTAAACTGATCAGTTATACTAAATCAACAAATTGACTAATTCATTTAAATGATGCAATAAAAGTAATGTGTCGACTAAGAGTGGAATCTCCAAAATACAGGGAGCTCTAAATCTATCTGTGTCCACTTCGGGTTTCTTTTCCTTTCAGTCCACATGTGTTTCTGTGAGATACGTCCTCATAGGACATACGTGGTAGTGCGGGGCGAGAGGACACACCCATTTCAGAGTGGCTTATGACGATAGCGCGTCCTTCATACTACACGCAAGGGCGCATTTTACCGCCTGAATCAGAGCTCAAAAAATGAACTTGCATGTCTCAATTCAATAACATTTCCTCAAATGTTGTGGGCGATTTAGAAGAGCAGAGATGACGATACATACAATAATAAATCTAAATCCTGCAGAAGAGATAAACGGCATATTTGAGGCTCCCTGAGGAGTTTTCCTGTAAACAAACATTCTGCTATTTGCATTCGCTTTCTAAGAAAAACCCATTGTGCAAATCAATAAGACTTAACACAAATGTGCATTTCTTTTCTCATAAAAGATTTGTGGATTTCTGGTGCTGACGTAGAAACCTGCATTGTTCACATCCTCCAGCTACGCGTCGGTTTTGCTGTTAATAAAACGAGATGCTTTTAAAACAGGGACTTTCTCTTTAAATACCTGCTATTTGTTCCAAGGTCCATTAGCTATAACAACAAGTCATCCCATTTTATAGTTACAAGTAATCTCAAAAGGATCTTCATAATGATCATGTGAATTTTTAACAGTTGTAACACTTAAGAAAGAAATCAGTTGGGTCTTTAGGGAAATGCCTCGGCCTCTGAAGGGCCGTGTAAATGTCCTCGTTTGATTGACAGTGCAGCTGGCGGGCTGAGCTTGGCAGGTGCACTGAGAAAAAACAACAAAAACGAAGAGAACAAGCTCTCGCCCAAAAGCCACGGGAGGACAGTGCTTTTGTTAGTATTGGCACATCAGCATTTAAAATGACTGAAACAACATGCTGTTAAACCCGTGTGTACTGCAGCTTATTAGCTATCCAGCAAACTGATGTTATCAGCTGCTGGGGGGGAGGGGGTGGACAGAAAGCCAAGGAGCAACTCCAGACATGTCGTTTTTTGTTGTCTGAGATAAGAAGGAGGACCGTTTCTCGTTTTTGAGATTCATGATCTGTCCCTGTCATGTTATGTCTCCGCCTGCCATCTGGTTTTTAGTCCGTGTCAGATCAGAATTTAGAATTGTTTAAAAATGACGCAGGAATAAACGTTTTAACAACGTAACCAAAAATATAATAAAGTAATCCAAGACGACATATTTCAGTCTGAATTCTGAGTTAAGGCTCCTCTGGCGTAACAACAGCAGATGTGGCCTTTGATTAACACGCAGCAGTTACTAAAAGCAAAAATGTCTGCAATCAGTATTCAGCATCCATCCACATTTCAAAGTAATTCATCCCACCGAAACGTTGTGTGTTGTACGTTGGCCCTTTGCTGACAGGACCTCTGTTCTGTATACTAAACCTCTTGCTCCGTCTATTATGTGGCTTTCACTGCACAGCCGTGCACAACTCAAGTGATGCTCAGTTCAGTTCACAGAAAAGAAAAAAAAAAGAAAAAGCGTTAACGCATTAAATGTCCTTGTAATCTTGTCGACGGGACGGGACGGCGGCTCCAGGACACATTCAATGCAGGATCAGCTCATTGTGCACAAAGGCTTGTATCATTGTTCACTCCACAATGGCTGGCAGCCCGCGTCGTTCTTCCGCGTTGTTGAGGGAAATCATCCCGACTGGCGGCAACAATGGCGACACACGCGGCTGATCTGATCGCCGAGCCGCAGCGCGCTCTCTTTCTTCTGGGATGCTGGAAAAACATATCGTGTTGCTTATCTGGGAGATGGATGCTGACAGCTAACACACGCCGTGTGCGCCTCCCCTTCTTTGATTTCCCCCCCTAGACCCCATTGGTGATATTCTCCTCCTCCTTTCCTTCCTCGTGGCTGCAGACCTGCGACGAGTTGTCTGCACGCTCTTTCTCATGCCCACGAAGTTTCTTATCCTGAAAGTCAGAGTTTCCTATTCCTCCATTTCCTTTCCGCCCGTCTTACTTTCCGTCTATCTTGGACCCCCTCTAACCTCTCCCTCCCTCCCTCCCTCCGCCCGTTGCCTCTGCTTCATTTCCTTCCCTTTTCTCCCGTTTAATCCTCATTTAATACCTTTTCCTCTTTCGACACCCTTTTATCACCATTCCCTCACCCTTCACATCCGTTCATTCCTTGTTTTTATCAGTCTATTCATTGCCGGCTCAAAAAAGCCCCCCCATGTAACCCCCCCATCGCCTGATCTAGACAAGATAGCTGATCCCACTGATGCTATTTTAAGCACGTCATGCTTACGCTTCCCTCCTCCTCCCTTCCACGGAGAGCTGGCAGCGACGAAGACGGGACTTGAAACATGCATTCCTCCCTCACAAACCAGACTTTTCTCTGCCTGATTGTGACTTGGAAATTAGTATAATTAACGGTACTGTCAGGAGACAAGCCAGTGGGACAGAAATAGCTGATATCCCTCCATATGTCATGTTAACAATTGAATTGTCCTCAAGTTTTTGTGCTTAATGTGGACTTTCTAAAAAGTACCTTCCTGATTAATTGGGATCATCCGTGCGTGACTAGTCTCTGGTCCTAGTTGCCACCATGACAACGGTGACCTCAATGACTGATCTGCATGATCGGTGAAGGTGCTTTAAGGGGAGACAGGTTGCCTTCAACGATTGAATCTTGGGAATTTTAAACCATTATCTTTGGAAGGGTCTTTTCCTTCTCACGATGTCGTGTTTGTTGGTTTGTTTCCAAATTGAACGATTATATGTAATGTTAATATTTGACTTAATTGGGCCTTTGTTTTACAATTGCCACACAAACCTCTGCTGCACACGTGTTGTCGTGTATCTCTTTTTTGTCTGCCTTTCCATCTTTGTGATTTTCCTCTTCAAGAATCCTCCGTCTTACCTCATCTGTTTCATGCTTGTGGATTCCGTCATATCCTGTGACAGACGTGAGCCCACCGAGCTCAACCAATGACGCACGTTGTACGTATTAATAATACACATAATACTGGGCTCTAAATTTGGCTCTGCTGCAGTGTCCTAAAACCCGGCCGTGTTCACTCGTTAACTAACTCTCCGTTCTACACGGTGAGTGGGTCACTAAGGGAGCAATACATTTAGATTTCAGGCAGTTTAAATCATTTTAAATCATGTTATTTTCATCTGTGAGTGACGCACGTATGAAATGAGGATTTTTACATTGTGGCACCGTAAGACAAATATAGTGTTCATTACATAACAACACTTTATTTCTTGTATGTTTGTATGTAGTAAAAAAACGGCAAATAACATAAAGGAAATTCAATTGAATAATATCTCTATTTCTCTATCTCTATTTAACTGGATTACTAGTAATGAACACTAGTTATAAATTAATTTTCTTCTGTGAGTGGACACAGCTCATGCAAATGGTTTGTGGCCGCTGCCACAGCCAGTGCAAAATAATATAACCATAAACGTAGGCAGTGTTTGAATGCAGCAGTTCGGTATGAAAAGCCTGTTTTGCCGCTTAGGAGGAGCAGATCGTCTCGTTCTCGCTCGTGTGTAAAATATTAATCTCAAATGAATGATACATTTGAAAGATCCACTATCCGATGTGAAAGATGTGAGATTAATGAGGATCACAGAACTGTGAATGAAGGCCAGACATCGGTCGCTGTACAGAATGTCTTGTTTATTGTTGTCGTCGTCATACATTTTCAAAACCGCTATATGCTTCGTATCTAAAGATTATTCAAACTTCAGTCTGAAGGTGGACGTGGCAACACCCGGAACGCAGAGCGACTCTCACCACAGATGTTTGGCTGTCAACGGAAAACATTCATTTAGTTTATAATCTTTGTATAATTTGATAGCCATGTTTTCATAATTCCATAATTACCAAGATACTGTATCATGTTTCCTGAAGGATTCATTTTTCAATGAAAGATTTTCATAAGGGTGAGAATAACTCTGTTTCGCAGGAGCTTCGTCACACTTTTTATTTGAAAAAGTTACACACCTGTGGAAGAACAGCAGACACTATCAACACATTTGTGCTTCTTTTATCTTTTTTTTTTTCTTTGTAAAGTTATTTTTTTTTCTGTTAAATATCAGCTCTCGACATAATCTTTTACACAAGAACAGACTAGGTTAAATCTGTTATATGTTTTGAATACCAACATGCTCACAATGTGTCCGAACCATTTTTTTATCTCCTTTTTAGTGTCAGAACAACTTAACGTAAAAACAAACGCCCCTTTGTTTCAATCGGTGTGTGTGTCGGGTGGTGTCAGAGTAGATGATTGTGCTTCACAGGCTCATGAAAGACAGGAGGAAAACAAGCGGGCCTGTGGTCGTGTACGTCGGGGCACGACCTTAACTTCAGCAAAGGAAAATCTGTAGACGGCCACGCAAGATCACATCAATTCACACGTTTGACATTACTTCAGTCGCTCTCCTTTTCATACATCACATTGTACTTGCAACCAAAATAAAGTCATTCTTTTACAACAAGCTCCACATCCTCTTTTTTTTTTCTTCTTTTCTTAAATAACTTGATATCATGTTCTCTGAAGGTGAAAAGCGGTCATCTTTCTCTCTCATGAAGGACGCAATATGTGTGACTATGTTGTGCATGTAAGGTGATTATTGACTTTTGATCTCTTTTTGAAATACTTGTTTGTGTTTCCGTATAACTTTATACATTGTGCAAAAAACGGCTGTATTCTACTCTAGAAGGCCACCGGGTGTCTTGCTGTGCGTTTTCACTACGTGTGTTCAACAGCCTTCCTGGAGACACATTTCAGTTTGAAAATGCTCTCGGATCGATTTCCGTGACCGACTGACCTTGATGCTTATAAAGTAAACAAACCCAACACATTTTTTTTTTTAAATGGCTGGCAGGGTCGAGCAAATATGGTCCCTCATATCCCTCTGCTTAAGTTTTGACTCAATAAAAGCGGCACACCAATAACTACTGCAGATGTAAAAAAAAAAAAAGACTTTACAAAGAAAATGATGCAAAAGGTTAAGCCACAATTCTTTCTTGACAATCAGATGTTCATCCTTAATATGAATTATGTTTATTTGAACTGTTGCACTAGCCGCTCAGAAACACAATTTACAAGTAAAAGAGAAAAATCTTTATACAGTATCTCAAGTCAGCATGCCGTTCTCAGAAAGCTTAAAGCAATAATCAACCAAAGGCCAACTATTGTCTGGCCTGATGCTCCTATTCGGCCATTTCCACCTGTGTTTACAGGCGGTTGAAGGCCAGAATACATGAAACCTGCAATCATAAGCCCTCATAGCTGGCCAGTGTGAACTAACTGTGCTGTATGCAAGTCAACCACAAACAATCTGTGCAAAGAACGGACATTTTTCCTTTGGTTCAGACCAGGAACACGAACAAAGAATACAACACCACCACAATGCTTTATATAGTGCAGTTTGTTTTGTTGTGGCTCACACAAGACTTTCACGCGTTTCTAGTTTTGAATTTCAACTTAAAGGGAAACCATATCAACGTTTAGCCCACATCCTGTTCTACTGTTGTCTATTCGGTTTGTGACTCCTTTGCCAACAATGCTGCTCACTGTGTCACCTAAACTGCAGCTGGCTTAAGACTCTGCTGCTTCAGGGGCTTCAGTCTGGTATTCAGCAGTAAAACTCAGTTGGATTATGGTCAGAACACATAAAATCAGTTGGATTCCCTTTAAGTTGCAGCTGAAAATCCAACCGAGAGAGCGATCCGATGAGTGTTTGTCCATAAGATCTCGTTTATTGCCTCGTCAGTACGTTTGGAATTCTGTTGTATTGTCCTTATATTGGGGAAATCGTGCTGTGATTCTGACACTTTTCATTTTTCACCCAATAAAACCCGCCCCGAAAAACAGCTGAACGTCGTCCCTTTTAAGTTCGTAGTTGAAGTTTCGTTTCAAATCCAACGTCCCGGCGTAAAGAGCCAGAACGACGACAACAACAACAACAACCAAACACAACACTTTCTGCCTGCACTGGGTGGTAGCAAACCATTCGGTGATGGATTGTTTCCTCAAGGCTTGAACATACGTCTTTCAGATTTATTGATTTCAATTCAGCGTTGCTGAAATGTCTCGGTCGCCTGTGACGGCTTCCGTCGCGCTGACAACCAGTTTATGACCATGTTTGCTCAGAAAGCGAGTTGTTTATCATTTGTTATAGTGGTAAATATAGGCTATAATATTTTATAGGTGTGTATTATATATTTTCTCATCCCTGATGGGCCAATACTCTAGCTGATAAAACAAGAATGGCTGTATTACATTAGCGTCAGTCTACTGTATCACTAAAAACAATGCGGCAGCCACACCTCATGGATTTGCATGTTATATATACAGGTAGTATAATACATCATTCTGGTTGGATGTGATTCATGGTGTTTATTTACATACAACGTGTAGTGTGCATTAACATATCTCGACTTCTCCTCATAAGATAAATTACTTCTAAATGAAAATGTAATATCCCAGTATTGTAGAAAAATATGTCATATTCATTGTGTGGACGTCAGGGAAATGGTTGGTTTATATCAGCACCTATTGCAACCATATTATTGTATTCTATAATAAACCACAGTAAACATATGGACACCATTGAATATACATACAACTCAAAATATTACTACCTATGAACCGCTTTTCACAGGAAATACATTTTATGGGCAACTTAAGGGCATTGGATAATCTATTAATGTAAAGGCCTTTTGATAGAAAAATAAGTATAATAGAACATTTTTGAATTGGGGTATTTTTATTTTTGATATTATACTGTACATATTTGATATATGCATGACTGTCTGTGTGCTTTTAATTGAGCTTAAAATATTGTGCTTTGTGAAAGCTTTGATTGTTCATATATAGTTTCACAAGAGAAGTAACAACAAATATTGAGAACTTTAATTATATTTCTCCAGGAAAATGCCATTGTCTCCTTTTCTTCATTGTTTAACTTCTACAAGCGAGGTAACCTTCCTGAACTTTTATCTGGTCAACCCAATCATTTATATGTAGCTTTTTGTAGCACAAACTAACATTGTTGTCTATCACACTATTCATAAATAACATCAGTGTTTTGCCCAAAAAACTGGAACCAACAAACATGGTGTCTGTTTGCAGTTGTTTTTCAGCTATTTCGTCCTAATATCTGATCAAATCTGTCTCCTCTATTGGACCTAGTGAGGTTATTTAAGCTTCCTTCCACAGTACTTTGGACATCGCTTCAAGTTTCTAAACATTTTGTCATGTTGAAATCTAATTCTCACTGAATCATGTACTGTATTTGTTTCCTTAGATGTACACTACACGTCCAACCCTTTATAATATGTGCTCTTTTACAAGATTTTAATATCGGTAACACTACCGGTTTAAATAAACATTGAACTATTTTGACTAGGATTGCTTTAAATGGCATTGCCTTTGTGCGTTTGCCCTTTGCAGTGTTCAACAAGTTAATTTGCAACCTGAATTAAGAATCAACCCACTTGGGATATAAAACCAGGTTCTCGAAATGCACAATAAAAATGAAAAAAGACTATTTAAAGATAGTCCGCCATCTTTGTTGATTTTATTACCACGACGCGTTACACTAACTAAACCTGGAGAACATCCACGTGCACACATTAATAGTCAAACTACCTGTGTAAGTTACCCAGGGGCGTCATTAATTACTGTAAACAAGAACCACGTCTATGAGCTCTTTAAAATGAATCGCTATCAATCACCTTGTCAACCGACTGGGTAGAAAGCTTCTGTTTGCACTGATGGTTTAGCCTGCGAAGCGATTTCGTCCCATTCAGTCACTGCGGGTGTCACAGTCAGCATGGTTTAAACCACCTGGTAATTGATGGCCTTGTATGTGGAAACGAACGCGAGAGCCATTTAAGTGGAAACGGAGCTTCTGTACCCCCCCCCCCGTCAAATGTAATCCTCCACTCTTCCACTTATCTATCACAGCGTAACCTGGGAACTGCTCCACATAAAGCCACGGCAAAAAAAAAACATGCTTTGCGAAGGTAGTTTGATTCACTTGGGGTAAGTTTGCAATTTAACTGATGTTAGAAGAAGAAAAGGAATTGTGCTGCTGATGAAATTGTGCATCCTCCAAGTCGAAAAATCCCCAAAATGTTGTCTGAAAGTTTGGAAATTGACCCGCCGCCCCGGCAGCTGAGCACTCAAGAGTATTTATAGTGATAGTCGGGACAGCATGAATTATTAATGGTTCCTGATGCAGATGTATTCATGACCTCTAGGCCACATGGGTGCAAACGCACACACAGACACACACTTTAACACACATTCACAAACTAAATCAGTTCTCTGTGGAATAAAACTGTAGCTCCGGTGATGGTTTTCCATTAAAATGACAGGCAGAGGGCCGGGTGTTTCAACCTTTGCAGCCGTCAGCTGGCCCGCGGTTGGTCCATCGGTTCGGAGACGACGTCTTTCGGGGATAAAATATTCAAGGCTGTGAAGCATTCAGCACGTGCGGCACATACCTACAATACATACTGTAGGCCTAAACTACTCACTCACACTCACACACACACGTTCTATGTCAACAAGTCCGTTTTTCATGCTTCTTACTAGCTGCTGTGGAGCATTTAAGCCTACTGGCATGAAGGTGACCTTTCTTCCAGTGACTGGATTCTAAAGAGTTCGGTGTTTTCTCCCTGTTTTGTTGCAAAAGTCCTGATCAAAAAACATGTAAACTGATCCTTGGCCTCATGTGTCTGCACGCCGGGTCCCGTTTCCTGGCTCACACGCGGTACTTTCTCAGCAGGTCGGCCTGCCACATGTACTTCCTCTCGGGGAACCTCTCCGGGATCTTGATCTTTTGGAAGTCTTGAATGCACTTTTCCAACTCCTCCTCGGCCGTCGGCTTCTCTTTGGCCGGCCTCTTCTTGCACGTCGTGCTGGTGTCGCGGGAGCTCGCCGTGAGCGTGCGCAGCAAGTCACTCTTGCGCCGCTGTTCGGAGTGCTGCAGCATGGCCACCGGGCCCTTTTTCAGCGGCCTGTCCAGGGTTTGGACGCGGGGGTGTGACTGGCGGCTGACCGGCCCGCAGATCACCGTCCCCTGCGGGGAGCCGGCCTCCGACTGGCTCTCGGAGCTGGAGGTGGAGAGCTCGTTGAACGAGGTGCCGCTCTCGCCCTCGCCGTCGCCCTTGTGGTTCTTGCAGCAGCAGTCGCACGGAGGGGAGGACCAACGCGACGAACCGCCTGGAAAGGAGACAAAACCAGAGGGGAGGCGTTAAGAGTTTGCCCTTTTCTTGGCAGACCACCACGGAGAGATAAACACGACAGTGACACAAGGAGAGCTACAAATCAGTCAGGCAGGAGAAGAGTCAAAGGCAAAGCAAAAGTCAAAAGAAATGTCCGCTGCAATAAAGTGACACCTGGTTCGCTTCTAGTCAAAACATGTGCACGAGCTGCGCTACTTTGTTTGGAGAACCGCTCTCGTAGATCCACGATGGAGCTAAAACCAACACACACACCATAGATGTTCACATTTACATTGTATGTATTTACAGGAAACGCCAATGGCAACGGTACTTTGCAAAGAGTTTTTAACTGCACAGGGATATAGTCTAGTCTGGCAATTTGACAAGGAATAGACGTTAAACTATACAGTTACATTTGTATGCAACCACTAAACCTTCCCAGCAGCATCACTGGAATGATGAAATTCACAAATAGGTGAATTTAATCTATAAAAATGATACAAAATAAACAGTGAGCTTTGATTTTTTTTTTTCTCAGCAGCCCTCAAATGATTCTTCATTGTATTGCATAATGTAAAAACTAAATGTTTTAGTTTAATAAACATTTGAACCCCACACAGCTTGACAACCTTTCCTTCTAAAAACTTGCTGGATTGCTTTTCCGTCACCTTTTAAAGGTGTTTCTATTAACAGATTATCTAGAGGTATCACACTGTTGACGACTTCCGGCCTTCAACCAATAAGGACCACAATGACGCGATGAAAGCTCAGCTTGTCCTCCGTGCGAGCACGAAAAGGCTGCAGCTTACGTCCCACTGCAGGAGGAAGCCATGTATTTATCAAGCAAACCCTCGTGAATAATTAAATGGGTATCTGTTGCTGATGGACTCAGCTCTGTTTAGCGAGGAAAGAGATCAAACCCCCCCGATGCAAACACAAACACACACACACATGCAGAGCCCCCTCCATTCCCATTTGGAGACCTGCCCCTCGGACAACAGCGCACGCTTCTGCTTTTGATGCATCCTCTACTCATCGAGTTCAATAGCACTGTTGTTTCTTTTCACTTGAAACGAGATCGAACGAGGCTATAAATAATGCTGCTTAAAATACATGCTTTTACTTTCTGTCCTCAGCGACATATTTGGCTTGTTTACGCAGAGGAGACGGAACACAAATCAGCTCATGCAGCCGATATTTCTTTCTGTGAGTACCGCACATAACACAGTTAACAGTTATTTATACTCATAATTTATGTGAGAATAAATAGAAGAATTATTCTTTAGACAATTTGGACGGTTTCTATAACATCGACTTTTATTCTAAACATCAGGACACACATTCAGTGCAGAACGTATATATATATATATATTTTCCCTAAAGTCTTGTGTTTCACGTAATGAAGCCAGGCCTTTTTTTCCTCCACAAGGAAGGAAAATATTTCACCATGTGACTGTAAACCGCTGCGATCCCTAAAAGATGTGTCAAACACACACACACAGACACACACTACAGCCTGCTGTATATAAAATAAACATGACCCATCCAAGCTAATGACAGAAATGGAACCCTACGCCCTGAGTCCCCCGTTGCAGCAGCGCCGGATCTCATCAATTACCACAGGCACTTACAGCTTTCACGTGCATACACACACAGCGGTAGAGAACCCGCTAAACTGGAATAGCGGGATTTAGTAGAATGTGTGCAGGACGGAGGACGTAACCTCGTGACGGCGGCACTTCCGCCTCCCTCTGAAACCTTAGTTTGGGGGACACATGAGTTAATTCGTGTCACTCTGAGTGAACAGCCTGCTCTCTGATCGATGAGATACATACTCGTAATTGGTGTTTTACAAAATGGCCCCGGACTCTGGTGAATTAAGTCTGCCGGCGTCCGATCTGCCCATCCAAATAACATTAACGCGATGAGACGGCTAAAGCCGCTGTAACAAAGGTCTCGAAGAGCCTTGTTGGTTTGTTTGTGAGTGTGTGCGTGTGTGTGTGTGTCTCTCTCTACTTTATATGACATTTACTTGAGGCACTTGGTCTTGAGAGAAGCATGCTGCTTTAATTTACAGATAATATAGCTCTTGGCTCTACTGCCTCTAAAGATTTACAGGATTCGATCGATCGATTTAGTTTTCCTGCCAAAACCTTAAGCTTGGTGACGTATCGTCCGAAAAATAAATAAAGGACAAACCATGCAGGAATCCGAGGAATGACAACTGAGAAAAATAAGTCCTTGAGTGGCGTTGACTCTCTCAGCTTCGCAGCGGTACTTTAATTAGGTTCCCATGAGGCTTTATACGTGTACAGCGCGGACGCTTTGTAGCACATTGATTCATGTTAGTGGTGAAAACCAATTTTCCCTGCTAATTGAAATGAAAAAAAAAAAAGTGTGAATGTGAGAACTTGCATTTTATCACTGGTGTTTAAACTCTCTGATTATTGTATCTTGCTAATTAAAGTGACAATTGAAGAACTGTTTGTTATGTTTATTCGGGTTTTGTCCAAGCATCCTGATCCACTGCTGCACCGTACTTGCGACTGCATCCATCGCTCTAAGTTAACATTTTTAGTTGAACGTTAGCTTCTCTATAAGACACATTTCTATTCCATTTGTGTGGAATGTGTTCATGCATACATGATAATTACAAAATTACCACTTTCCGGTCCAGTTGAAATTTCAGCACTCAAAACACTGAGAATTTGAGTTTCTCTCGGACAGGTATGCGACTCTCCTGAATGATCAGCTCACTTAGAAAAAAAATCATGGAGGAGACATCAGGAGAGCAATCAAGCCCACGAATATGAAGACAAATGTATGTCAAAATCAGGTTTCAAGCGTGCTTGTTTTCTGCAAGGCCGTGAACAGAATTGTCATACAAGTCTTCACAATGTACAGAATGGAGGATTTGGCTTCATCTTTGACCTTTTTTGAAAAAAGCAACCCAAAAGAAAGACGAGTGGACGTTTGGCTGGAAGACGGAGAGCTGAAACCTGGACCCTCCGGCTGTGCCTGCAGCGGCTGCAGCAGGGAGCAAGACTGTGTTTAACTGTTGGCGAAAAGGAGCGTCGTTGCTCAGCATATCGAGGGATTTACAGTCACATAAAATACAGGTTTTCTTTTAGACAAGCAGCCTCTGCCTTTTGTTATGGCACGTTTACTGCATTAATAATGTGCCAATTTATCCTTTTTTGACGCTCAGAATCCAGATTAAGAATTAGTTTGTGTGTGTCTGTGCTCCTCAATCTTTCCCAGTTGTATATGTACTGTAGTGTGAATGTTACATGTTGTAGTTATATACCAAACGTGGCATGCTGTGCTCTCATGTGAGAGTAAGGTCACATGTTCCTTTAGGGCTGAGTGCCTGATGGTTTGTGTGTGTGTGTGTGTGTGTGTGTGTGTGTGTGTGTGTGTGTGTGCACATGGGTACAGGTATGTGTACGGTGGCCGTCTCAGCACAGCCACATACTGTGTGTGTAGTGTGACAAATGAAGCACCATAGGCGGGAGCCCAATGTGGGCTTGTTTGTGTTTTTGTCACTTCCACCATACAGGTTACATCAATCATGTTATAGGAATGTGTGTGAGAGAGTAAGTATGTCTGTGTGTGTGTGTGTGTGTGTGTGAGAAGAGTGACATGGGCCCTTGAACCATTATCTGCCACCGCGTTGGGCAGTGGAAGAGAGGCTGATGTCAGGTGGGGTTCCCATTCGTGTCATCGGAGGATGTGAGACGCGGCGGCCGTGCCTCTGGCCAGCATCACCCAGCGCACACACCCTTTGTGCGCCTTGTGTTGTGCTGTATACGCAGCCGCTCACATGAGCTCGTGTTGTTTCTCTGAAGTGGGCAGCAGGTCTGACAGAAGTCCAATGACTGTCCCATGCTATTACACACACACACACACACACACACACACACACACACACACACGCTCACAAGACATTCGGAGGCTATTTCCTGTTTTCTGCAATGCTGTAACCAGAATTAGAAACACGCACACACATAGACACACACACACACACACACACGCATGGAATGCTTCCTGTCAGGTGTTGCGGGATCCAATGTATTGATCTTAGCAGGGACCTTCACAACTTGTGTTACTTCGTGCCAGGAGAAAGAGCTGGCCGACGCCCGCTCTGCTCACTGTTGAATAAAACGAACAAACCTAATTCACGTATCAGCGTCTGTCATTTCCTAAAATCTGCCGACACTATATGTTATGAAATGAATACATTTCATGGTATCTTGTCGACTCGATGTACAACGTTATAAGTGGACATTATTGGTGGGGTGAGTTTCTCTTAGAACAACTTTTGTGTGTCCCCCCCCCAGAATTTAGCTGGAACCACTGAACTCCCCGCTGTCTTTTCTTGATGCTTGTCAACATGAGTGCACACTCAGGAGGTAAACACAGAATATGAGTAAGCTTCTTTAATTATCTCCTTTCCATCCATTCATTAAACACCACCACCGTTTTCTTTTACATTAAAATGTCTTCAAACAACTCGTGCAGTACCGTTTTCTTTTGCTCCCGTGTGTTTCCTCATGGGGTCGATTTTTCAAACCAAGGAAAAGGCTACAAACTTTGCAGTGTTTGGCGATGATATCAAAGGATTTTCACTACAAGTTGCCCTTCCCCTCTCATTTATTCTTTTTCTGTTTCTTTTATCGTAGTCCATTCTATTCTGCACTCTCCATCTTTCCGTCTCCCCGTGTCTCTCCAGCACCGTTCCCCTCCTAATGTCGGTTTCGACGGGTCGGGGCGTCGCAGGAAGTACACGGACGATTGCCCTCGGATTGATTTCTGTCATACAGACTCTCGGCACTGGGAGGCTGTTCACCTGAGATAAATGATGCTGGAACAACAAAAGCAAATACACCTCTTCCATCCATCACTTCCTCGCCCTCAGTTTCTTTTTCTTTTTCTGTTCCCCATCTCAACTCTGCATCTCTTCGCCACCGCGTCTCTCTCCGCAAACGCCTTCTGCTG